CGGGCTGTCCTGCTGCGGGCGTGCTCCAAGGCTTTGCTCCCTGTCTCCCTGCAGACCAGGGAGATGGGGAGCAGCTTTTCTCGCCCCGGAGGACGGGGGCGGCGGACCGCGGCGCATCTGGGCGTCCCGCCGCTCCCGTCCTCCGGGGCAAGAAAAGCCCCGTTCGTAACTGCGTAACTCGGGGACTGCCTGTATAAACAAAAATCCAAATGATTAGAAATGGAAATATTTTAGGGGAGGGAAATTTTGGGCTATAAACTTAGAGTGGGGATGGTGTCTGATTTTCCGGAGGACGGGGGCGGCGGACCGCGGCGCATCTGGGCGTCCCGCCGCTCCCGTCCTCCGGGGCAAGAAAAGCCCCGTTCGTAACTGCGTAACTCGGGGACTGCCTGTATAAACAAAAATCCAAATGATTAGAAATGGAAATATTTTAGGGGAGGGAAATTTTGGGCTATAAACTTAGAGTGGGGATGGTGTCTGATTTTTACAGCACTTAACATAATGAAGCTCCTATCCTACAGTTACTTTCTGAGTGCTATCACACATTAAAAGAACTAACATTTGAAATTCCTTTGTCATTTAGTGTTAGTTTTGATCATCACTGATAAAATTTTCAGTTTTAGCTTAGGCTCCTTTAATACATTTTGAAAACCACTGGGTCATAGGTGTATTTTGAAAATCCTATCTAGTGTCTTTATGTATATTTGTGTGTGAAACTTCAGCAGTCCAAAATAATGTATTGTACAGAGGGGTGTCTTTTTCTTTTTTTCTTTTTTTTTTTTTTTTTTTTAATTGAAACTGGCAATATGTAGGCTGGATGCATTTAGTCTCCAGAATTGTGGTCCTTGCAAGAAAGTGGCAAAACCAATTGAATGACTGGTTTAAAAAGTTTGAACAAAACCTTTGAGTGTGTAACATTCAGCTCTCCACCATCTGAATAACTTAACATAACCACAGATATAATCTTTATGCTTTGTTGGTAATGTGTGTGAATCTCCAAACACAAACATGAGACTGTCTCCCAAAGTACCAGAGAGAGCCTGGAAAAGTAGAATTGGCCTACTTTTAATGCATACAGGCAGTCTCCGGGTTACGTGGATCCGACTTATGTCGGATCCCTACATACGAATGGGGCTTTTCTCGCTGCGGAGAACGCGGGCGGCAGGACCGCCCAGACATGCTGCGGTCCCGCCACCCGCGTCCTCCGCGGCGAGAAAAGCCGCTCCC